CAAAAAAAAAAAAAAAAAAAGATTGCAGAAATGCCCTTGAGGTTTATATTGCTTTTTGTTCTTAAAGCTTGTCCTTGAATTGTGTCAGTTCCACCTTGTAGTACTTAAAAGTGTTTAGTGGATCAGCATGATAATATAAAATTTTAAATATATTACCTTTGTGGGATCAAATAATACCAGAAATTCTAAAAGATATAATTGTGACCACTTGAATTATCGATAGCATGCCTCCCGTGGCTATTCGGTTGTTTTGAGCCTTGAGACTAATAATTCTTCTAAGATGTTTACTTCATTGGCATGTAAACAGTTGTTAAAAAGCTGCAATACAAAACAAATTCAGTATGTGCCTGATTTGTTAATTGCTATGTTTTTTTTTCTTTTTTGTCACTAAAACAATAAGGATTAATTTACTCTGTAATTACCTGAATATTCTCTGAAGCCTTTTCATAAACCTGTTTGTGACGAATATTAATTTATTCTAAACAGAGTAATCCTTAAAGCTAAAAACCCCGAATGAGTATGAACATCAGTGGACAAAACCATCATCTCAGGATTATGGAATTATAGCATCCAATAGAACGAGAAAAACCTGATACTTTATGCTGTATTTATGCTTTGTTTCTAAGTAATCCTTGTTTTCATTTGCCTAGTGGAAGAGTCATATTAAAGAAAGCACCAGGTTTTCATCATATATTTTTTTTGTCCTTATACTTTAAAGATTTTTATGCTTCTAACTGTGGCATCTCTTTTCTGGTGTATCTGAAAAGGCAATATATAAACAGGCAAAGAAAATTTTCCGTAGCGTGATTGTGTGGTTAGATTCCTTTTACAACTCAGACTGAGAACAGCCTTGAGAATTATTTTCTCATGGCCGTGCAAGTAAAGGAGGACAAAATGTACTCTTTTACATTAATTTACAGTAATGATGGCTAGAAATAAATATAACCTCACAAATGAATCCAGCTTTCAAGAACCTATTTTTATAATAAAGCAAAGAACAGAATGACACTGTAAGCACACATTAGCTTGGACTATTATTATCAATACTTAAATGTTTTTCTCTCATGAAAAGAATAGTTCGTTTTGCCATAGTGATTCAGACATTTTTGAAAATCTAGATTAAGCTTTAATTTGGCACTTAGATTAGTCATCGTTCTTGCTTTTGAAATATGGAGTTCCTTTTAAAATCCAGAGATTTATTAGACCACGTTAAGAATCTATCTAAACTTTTTAAAGTATTAAATTAGTTACAAGTTCATTCATTCATTTACTCCTTTCACGTGTTTAAGAAAATGTCTGTGTTTAAATTCAAAAAAAAATGTGTTTTTTTCTTCCAGATCAGAGACACTAAGTCAGCAGATCAAAAGACAACGCTTTTGCATTTTCTGGCTGAAATTTGTGAGGAAAAATACAGAGATATCCTCAAATTTCCTGAAGAACTGGAACATGTAGAAAGTGCGAGCAAAGGTAAGTAATTCGTAACTGCTTTGAGACTATTTCTTGCCTGTGTATTTTGTTTTAAATTGTTAAAGTTAAAGAATCTATAAACTTTATTAATCATAAAAATATTTTTGTTTACTAAGAAAAGTAAGAATATAGTTTCCATTAACTTCCCTTATATTTGACAGAACAGTGCATGTTTTGTTTTGTTTTGTTGGAGACAGACTCTCACTTTGTCGCCCACCCTCCATAGAGTGCCATGACGTCTTAGCTCACAGCAACTTCAAGCTCTTGGGCTCAAGCCATTCTCTTGCCTCAGCCTCCCCAGTAGCTGCAACTACAGGCACTCTCCCCAGTGCCCAGCTATTTTTTAGAGATGTCTCTCTGGCTCGGGTGAACTCCTGAGCTCAGGCAATCCATCCACCTCGGCCTCCCAGAGGGCTAGGATTACAGACAACAATGCATTTTAATTACTTGGTTTTGTCTTTATTCTTTTAATACTCTAGGTTATCACAGCTTTTATATCTCTGATCAGATATGTTCATTTTTGCACTTGATACACAACTTAAGCGTATATTATTTGGAAAGGAATCATACTACGGGGCTTTTAGTGATATGAAAATGATTATAAGACAGTTCTTACTTGAATGTGTTTAAAATGTAGAAGGTGAGAAAGATATAGATTGTATTTATATACACATACAAATATGTTATGAAACAAGGATGAATGTATGAAGTGGTACAGGAAAAGATAATGTCCTACTGTTTAGATGAGGGAGAAGGTACTTTGGAATGGGTAGATAAGAAGAGGCTAAAGAGTGAAATATGGGCTCGGCGCCTATAGCTGAACCAGCTAAGGCGCCAGCCACGTACACCTAAGGTGGCGGGTTCGAATCCCCAGCCCAGACCCGCCAAACAACAATGACGGCTGCAACCAAAAAATAGCCGGGCGTTGTGGCGGGCGCCTGTGGTCCCAGCTACTTGGGAGGTGGAGGCAGGAGACTCGCTTGAGCCCAGGAGTTGGAGGTTGCTGTGAGCTGTAATGTCACGGCACTCTACCCAGGGGGACCGCTTGAGGCTCTGTCTCAAAAAAAAAAAAAAAAGAGTGAAATATGAGGATAGGGTTTTGCAGACATAGAAAAAGACTTGCTTTCTGACCCGAGCAGAGTGTTAGAATGTTTTAGGACAGGTGAAAGGATTGGTTGACTATAAGGTTAGAGCAGTAAGGTAGGCGTCTCCGAGACTTTGATGTCAGGCTAGAGAGCATAGTATGATGTGGTGGGCAGGAAGGCATTGTGGAAGGGATAGAATGGGCAGGACATAGCACCAGTGAGGAAACAGCAGGCGGGAAACACAGATGTCTTTGAGATTTGAATTACTCTTGAAAGAGGCTGGAAAGTGAAATAAAGGAGGGACAGGCCAGGCGCGGTGGCTCAGGCCTGTAATCCCAGCACTTTGGGAGGCTGAAATGGGCAGATCACCTGAACTCAGGAGTTCGAGACCAGCCAGAGCTAGAGCAAGACCCTATCTCTAAAAAAATAGCCAGGCATTGTGGCAGGCGCCTGTAGTCCCAGCTGCTCAGGAGGCGGAGGCAAGAGAATAGATTGAGCCCAAGAGTTTGAGGTTGCCGAGCGATATGATGCCACAACACTCTACTGGGGGTAACAAAGTAAGACTCAGTCTCAAAAAAAAAAAAATTTGAAAAAAGACATAAAAGAAGAAGGATCAAGGAAACATTTTCTGAAGGTGAGACTATATACATGGAGAAGTATATTTTCCCTTTTAGATAAGGGAATCATGCCGTAAATCTTATATTTGAAATTGAACTATAGTAATTTCATTCTATAACTCAGAAGACTTTGGTGAGGACTCCAAAGCATAATCACTTTCTAAGTTTATTACAAAATATATAAACCTGTTAGTGCCCTTTGGAGGAAAAAAAAGTGAGTGTTTAAAACCTAGAATGGTTTTGTATAACACGGTTTGTATAACATGCAGTTGTTCATCTCTGCTGATCTGGTATTGTCAATCACATCCTCAACATATTTCTATCATTTTATCCAACATGCATTATTTTGTGGTCTCAGGACCAGAATAACTCTAAAAGACGAATTACGACTCCGTACTTCTATTGTAGTTTGTTTCCTCATTTTAAGAAAATTTTATAATATGAATTAAATTTACACTTCACCGCAACGATAATAGCAGCTTTCTGGTAATAGCCTTTTTAAAGAACTTCTATATGTGCATCTTGGCTCTTGTGCTTAAAAATACATCTTTGTGACTAGAGGCATATTTACTAACATGCAACTAATGTGGAATAATAGCAACGTTTTAAATATTCGTATTATTATTTAAAATATGTAAAATGATATAAGGCCAGTTCCTACATTAGATTATTTTGGTGCTATTACTACTCTTTAATTGCCATCTACCAGATTTTTTAAAAAATATTTTGTTTGTTTAATATTAAAATCAATTTTGAAAAGATTTTGGTAAAAAAAAAATATATCATAAAGGCATTCAAATAAAATGTTCTATAAATTTTGTGATTTATAATTATTACAGTGAAGATAGTCTACATACATGTATATATACACACAGGCACAGGGTGGCCATAAAGTTTTAAATTGCACATGAACTTTATGGACACACTGTGTGTGTGTGATGAATCTATTTTTAGTGAAAATAATGTGGAATGACTGAAATGAAATCTGGGATAAAGCATCTATCAGTTTGATTTTTACATCTAAATACCTGTTGATTGATATATGTGAGTGGTATGTGTGGAGATATCTATATATATATAAGATATATGGAACTATATATATTTACATATCATCATCAATCCCACTACAGGATATTTATTCAAAGTAAAGGAAATCAGTATATTAAAGGGGATCTGCTATTCCATGTTAATTGTAGCACTATTTCTGTTAGCAAAGACATATGAAATCAACCTAAGTGTCCATCAATGAATGAATAGATAAAGAAAATGTGGTATACCTATACTGAATACTATTCACCCATACAAAAGAACTAAGTCCTGTCATTTGCAGAGATGTGGATAGAACCAGAGGTCATTATATTAAGTGAAATAAGGCAGACACAGAAAGACAAATATTGCATGTCCTCACTCATATGAGGGAGATAAAAATGTTTATCTCATAAAGATAGAAAGTAGCTTGACTGTTACCAGAGGCTGCAGAGGGGATGAAGAGAGTTTGGCTAATGGAAGGAATAAGATATAGTGTTCAATGATACAGTGGTATTACTACTTAACAATTTACTTTATATTTAAAAATAGGTAGAAGAGAAAATTGGAATATTTCCAACACAAAAAAGTGATAAGTATTTGAGGTGATGGATATCCTAAATACCCTGATTTAATCACCACACATTATATGCATATATCAAAATATCACATGTACTCCATAAATCTATACAATTATTATGTATCAATTAAAATTTTTTAAAATAACTATAGCTATTTATAGACACATGAAACATATTTTCATATATAGTATTTATACATTTTATGTAATTATAAAGAGAATCATTAAAGTATATCATATACTTTAGGCACTACTACTACTGACAAAGGTAGACTATAGAACCTTTTAATTTAAATATTATAGCTCACTAACCTTGGCTCTGCTACTTACTAGTTCTCCAGCCTTATGTTAATAATTCAAACTTCAAAATTTTTGTTTTCCCATCCATAAAATGAGAATGATAGTAACAAAAATATTTAATTAATTAACATATACAAAGCATCCAGCAAAGTACTTGATGCATAGGAAGTATGCACCTATTGCTGTACCACTATTTTTAATTGTAGTAGTAGTAGCACTAGTAGTAGTAGTGGTAGTAATGGGTATACTACTAAGAATATTATGGTTGTTTCTATTGTTTTATTAGAAGAAAATAATAAGGATATCTTATAGTTCCTCAAATCTCAGTAACTAGGTATTAGATTCAGTTTTATTTGTTTATTTCCTATTCCTGGATCTTTGCTAAATCTTCTCATATTTTTGTTTTCCATTATCCCCAACTTCTTAGTCTCAATCCATTTCAAGAGTAATATCTCTCAGTTACATCTTGATTATCCCTGACTTTATGTATTCTTTCTGCCAGACTATTTGAAAAGCTGTTAACAAAAATCCTCTTTCTATTATGCTACTTGGGCTGTAGCAATCTCAGTCTCAAATTTCTTAACTAGTTCTTTTTCTTTCTCTATGAAATTCATACTCAGAGTTCTCACCTCAAAAAATCCTTAAGCACATTCTACCTGCTTGCATCCCTCTTTCAATCCCTCCTAGTTTTCATTTCAGTATGCTCAGACATATATTCTCTTGAGCCATTTGTAGTACTTTAAAATAATCCTATCATTGTGTAGAATTTCATGCTGCATCCCCTGCCTGGAAATCTCACCTGCCCTGTCCTCTAAGACAACTGACTATCATTTGTCAAATCACTGTTCACAATCTATTTCCTTTTCCTTTTTAAAAAATATTTTGTTACTAAAACCTAAGAAGAAAATACTTTAGAATTTAGTCTACAGGAAGAAACAAAATATGGTAAAAGGTCAAGCCAATTACCTCTTATTTATAGTGAAATACTTTTCCTTGGTATTTAAGACTAGCTTGTCTTGTTTGCTTAATGTTCATTGCAGCCTTGTTTCCACTATATTCTGTCACCTTCAGTACTTTGCATTACATACTGTATATACAAAGGATGCCAAAAATGTATGCATATTTTAAGAAAGGGAACAGTTACATTAAAATCATAATATTCAATATTGTAAAACTCAGCATATACTGATAACAAAAGATGAATACAAAAAACATTTTGACTTCTACAATTACAAGAGGTGCTCAAAGTGGTTACCATCAGTGTCTTAACACTTTTTTTGTATTAAATCATAGCTGTGTACATTAATGCAATCATGGGGTACAACATACTGGTTTTATATACAATTTGAAATGTTTTCATCAAACTGGTTAACATAGCCTTCACGTCATTTT